CTATCTTCCTTCAGTTCTTTGATTTCTTTGTGTGTTCTTTAAATTCACTGAATTCTTTTATCATGTTTATACTTGTTCTTTTGAGTTCCATGTCCCGCATTATCTCTAAGGGGTTCTCATTTTAGTCCTCTAGAGGACTATTGGTATTTGGTGGCAATATGGTATTTTGGTTTTTCATGTTGTTTTTTTTCTCTGTGATTTTGACATGTGAATTTCTCTTGTAGTTTCTGATTCTTGTGTGAGACTCAAGCCTTCAAGTTTAGGTCTGCTTCTTTTTGTGAACTGTACCTGTCTTTGTGGTTTACTTTTTGGGCATGAAAGGCTGGTTCCTCTAAGCTTCCAGTTCTCTCTTTTGATTTTATATTGGAGTGGCCAGATTGCTTTTGTCTTCAAGAGTTCCCACAGAGGCCCAAGACAGATAAAGATCAGATGCTCTCAGGCTTTCTCCTAATGTCTGGATCCCTCAAGGATAGATTTTAGCCTCGGGAATTGGGGGTTGGACTGGCAGGCCCAGGAAAGATGTTGGTCTAGGGCAGCTGGTGGCCTTGCCACCCAGAGATGCAAAGGAAGATGGGGGCAAGAGGCAGCTCCAAGGGACCCTGGGGACTGCACTGAGGAGCTGGGTTGGTCTGGATGCAAAGGACTAGGAAGAGGAAAGATCAGCCCCAGTGTCCAGGAAAGAGGCTGCGGATTTGTGCAGACCCAGGCAGGCAGAGGGAGGTGAGGATTGGGCCAGGCCCAGAGTCCCCCTGGGGGCCCGAGGAAGAACTGAGTTAGTCTGGATGCACAGGGTCAGGAAGAAGCAGTGGTTGTTCCCAGGTGTCTGGGGCACCAAGACAAGGAATTGGACAGGGCCCAGGCTAGGAGGGGAGACAGGAGGGGAGATGGGAGGGTGAGTGAGGCTGGGGGAGTAAAGGTGCAGAGGGCCCAGTGGACTTACCCAAGAGAGAAGAAGCCTGCATATCTGAAAGAGGTCTGCGGGTCCTGCAGGCCTAGGAAGCAGAGGGAGGTGAGGGCAGGGCCAGGCTCAGAAGCAGTGCTCCTGGGGACCTGAGAAAATACTGAGTTGCTCTGGATGCACAGGATCAGGAAGAGGCAGTGGTGATTCCCCAGGTGTCTGGGGCGCCAAGACAAGGAATGGGACAGGGCCCAGGCTAGGAGGAGAGAGAAGTTTCTTTTCTTTTTTACACTTTAATTCATTTTTAAAAGTTTATTTTTATTTTATGTGTATGATTATTTTGTCTGCATGTATGTCAGTGCATCTGTGCTGTGAAATTCCCCCAGATGCCAGAAAAAGACAACAAATTCCCTGGAACTGGAGCTATGAATGTTTAGCTGCCATATGGGTGCTAGGAACTGAACCTGTGTACTCTACAACCATAGCCAGTGGTCCAAATCACTTATCCATCTTTCAACCTCCTAGATTCTTTCCTGAATTTTCTTTTATTCAATGAAGAGAAACTTCAGGCAGAAAATCAATGTTGTTTGAAAAATTATTGAATCTTCAAGAACTTTATATAAAGCACTCTGATCATATTCTCACCTGTTTTTCCATTTCCCCTCCACCCATACACTAGTACAACCTTCAGAGTTCATGTCTCTCACTATGAATTTTTTTAATAAATGTCTCTGGAGTCTCATCTGTTCCCAAAATGCTGCTTATTGTGAGTCTATCTCTTGGAGTCAGGTCAACCTACCAGCATCACACTCCTAAAGAAAACTGACTCTCCCTGTCCCAGCACCTATCAGTTGTCAATAGATCCTCTGCTATGACTTGGAACTTCTGTCCTCATTCCCTTTCCATGCTAGGTTTTATGGTGTCTTCTTCAGATTTATAGGTCCTATGCATGCTGTCATGAGTTTTCACAAGTGCAACATCCCTGTGCTGTCCAGGCAACACGCTTCCTTGTATCCATCTACCATTTCTGGCTCTTACAATCTTTCTTCCCTCTCAACAATGACCCCTAAGCCTTGAGAGGTGATGGAGTGATATAGGTGTCTCATTTAGGACTGAACACCCAGCAGTCTCTTATTCTGTGCACATTGACCGGTTCTGGGTCTCTGAGTTAATTACCATCTGCTGCAAGAAGAAGCTTCTCTGGTGAGAGTTGGCAGACATATTAATCTAAGTATATAACAATGTCATTAGACTCAGTTTCCCTATGTGTCCTAAACTGAGTATTTGTGCAAGTAATTGCTATGACTTATTATTTTAGGCTAGCCAAATTGGGGTATGAGAAAAGTTGAAAGAAATTGAGTCTGGGAAATATTATCTTATTAATAAAGTCTGTTCCAGGTTGATTCAAGTCCATTAGTGAACAGAACATTCAGCTGGGTCTCTGGTGAGATTAGGCTTCATAGTGGAAACAAAGGCAATGATGAGGTAATGGCTCAACGCGGGAACAGAAGGATGAGGCAATCCAGTGACCTGAGGGCCTTCTACTACTCCTCCTGAACATTCTAGAGCACTCTGACCTTACCCCTGGAAGTGACGCTTCTAACACCTTCCACTGGGGATAGATTAATCTAAACCATCACTGCAGGAAGATATTTTCATAGCCATCATGTTGATACTTTCCCAAGGTTTATGGTTGCTTGGAAATTTTTGTTCCATTCTTTCTTTGTTGTTTCATTCCATTGTGTTTTGATGTCTTTCTATACAGGTGTGTTTTAGACACTTCCTTCTTTCATTTGGCAATTTATTGAAGATATCTGCTTTGTGGTTCTTTATAGATTTACATAAAATACCATATTTACAACATGCTATTAAGAACAATTCAATTTTAGTCATAAACTATTTCATTATTCTTCTTCTTTTAATGTAAATATGTCGGGTGTGTGTGTGTGTGTGTGTGTGTGTGTGTATGTATAAGTGTGAGCTAGGATTTATTATGTAGCCTAAGCCTCACTGTGACACAAAATCCTCCTATCACATGCAATATTGTTCTGGGATTTCAGGTGTTTGTCACCATGCTTGGTTGGAAATAATACTGTGTTCATCATGGAACATAAATAAAAAACTGTCTAAATTAGAAGACTCAAAATTTTATTTGTGAAGAGAGATAGTATGACATTCAATTTCATACAACATGGTGGAAAGATTGTCATGCTGGGCTAGTCCTGTTATATCTACAATGAAACATGGATGGAGGAAGATCACAATTTCCAGGCTAGACTGGAAAACATAGTGACTTTAAACCATATATATCTGCATGGAAGATATAGACACATGTTTCTTTAGGAATAAAGCCATGGATTTTAACATGGTTACTATGGTGATATGAGTTTCATGTATAAATTCAGGCGCAGTGTAGAACATAGCAGGATAGAAACAATATTTTATTGACTATGAAATATTTTCAATTTAATATGAAAATACATTTCATTACATATAACATTTGAAATATTATGTTTCTCAAATATCATGCCATGCAGTTTTATTTAAACAAATATTGCTATGTATGTTGGGTAGAACTTGACTAGACATTTAAAAGCAGCTTTTACTTATAAGTTTTTCCAGAGCCTCTTTCACATCCTTGTTCCTCAGACTATAAATCAAAGGGTTTAGCATGGGAATCACAAGGGTGTAAAACAGAGATGTCATTTTGTCTTGATCTAGGGAGTAAGAAGAACTTGGACGAAAATAGGTGAAAAGTAGAGTTCCTTGGAAAATGGCAACTGCAGTCAGGTGGGAGGTGCAGGTGGAGAAAGCTTTGAACCTCCCTTCAGCAGAGCGGATCTTCATGACTGATAAGATGATGTAACAATAGGAGACAAGGACTCCTGAGATGGTGCTCAGTTCAAGGAAACCGTAAATAATGAATAACGCCAGCTCATTGACTTGAGTATCTGAACAGGAAAGGACATATAGTGGGGGTAAATCACAAAAGAAATGGTTAATCTCATTAGACCCACAGAAACATAAGCGGAATGCCAAGGTGGTATGTATCAAAGCATCTGCCGTTCCCACCATGTAAACCCCAGCCATGAATAGAGAGCACAGCCTGCTGGACATGTTCACTGTGTAGAGCAAGGGGTTGCTGATGGCCTGGTAGCGGTCAAAAGCCATCACTGCCAGTAGCACACATTCAGAATCTGCAAATGTACAGGAAATGAAGAACTGCAGAGCACAGCCCCAAAAGGGAATTGACTTGTCCTTGCCAAATATGTCAGCCAGCATCTTGGGTCCAATTGCAGTGGAGTAGCAGAGGTCACAGAAAGAGAGGTGGCTGAGGAAGAAGTACATGGGTGTGTGGAGCTGGGGATCCATCCTGATCAAAATGATCATGCCAAGGTTCCCCAGAAGATTGATGAGATAGATGAGTAGAAATAAGGCGAATAGTGTCACTTTCATCTCAGGGTTATTGGTAACTCCCACAAAAATGAATTCATTCATGGCTGAGCAATTTCCTGTATCCATTCTTCCTTTCTGTCTATGCTTTGAGAAAATATTAAAACTGATAAATATACATCTTCCACATCTGAATATCAACGTATTTATAACAGAATATTTTATTTATCACCTATTATATGCTATAACACTCTCCTAGTGCTGTGTTTTTTTTTTTTTCATTTTTCTCTTAACCTAATTCATAGCAGAAAGGCCGTTGCCTGAGACAGGGAGTGGAGAATCTGCTCAAAATCTCTGTAGCATTCAGGAGTTCCATGATTTCTGCAAGCTCTGTAGTGTTCCTGGCTTCTACTTTCCTATTGGAGGTGATGGATTTGAACACATTGTTTGGGAATTTAAGAGTGATACTGTAAACATAGTCAAATATACATGACTGGAGAGGTCATAGTTCTTAAAGAAAATCCTAAGGCTGTCACATCCCTAGACAAATGTAATTCCTTACTGTATGATAAATATGGGTTCTTATATCTACAGACAAAACTGCCAGTTTCATTTACTTTTGTAATACTATGGAATAAGCAAAGATGTTAGAGAGATAGACCAAAAGATAAGGATTCTTTGAGACCGTCGCATGATGCACAAATGATTTTAGTTATTTATTCTTGAAGGATCACATGGGTTTAACAAAAACATTTCTATTAATTTAAATGTCAATGATTGGTAAGATTGATAATGAAAAATATTTTGCTCCATTGTAGAAATATTGTATGACTACTCTTTCATTGGTCTGTTTTATATTGTTTAAGGATTTAATGACATGAGAAAATGCTTATTTGATCTGTACTTTCATCATGTTATAGTTTTGTCACAGAAATTGATTCCTGTTAGTAGCAGGGGTCTGATGCCAAAGGATTTGGATCTTTTGGCAAATGAAATGGACCAAAACCAAGCAGCATCTACAGAATTAAGCACATCCATTGGTATGTCATGATTTACATTTTCTTTTATATTAAGTAAATCAGGATGAACCAAAAATGTACTAAAAGTGCTTCTTTAACATTCATGTGTGCATTTTCATGTGTGTTTCATGTATGTGTTGACAAGAAATTTAGAATGTGATTAAAAAATATTTTGGGACTTTTAGACTATGTAAGAAATATAGTATACATTTATTCATATATTGATTTGTATATGTTATTTGTGATATGGCAAACCATTATTTTTAATATTAATTTCTAAACCATACTTTTAATATTTAAACCATTTAATTCACATATGAAGATATAATGATAAAGGAACATCTTAATCATCTCTATACCCCTTCCCTACTGGCACTGTCCCATAACTCCTCCACAGAATTTCATGAATTCTGTTATTTGTGTTAAGACCGATTACATTAAGTTAGTGTCCCCAGAAATTCCTCAGTACAAGTTCATCCACTGAGGTCTAGTCAGCAGAGATAGGTTTCCTCCCCTGAAGACCAACTCTTCCTCACCCAGAAGTCCCCAGCTGCAACTAGTTATTCACTATGCAGACTGTTAAGGGAGACTATCAATAGATGCTCTAACTCAAGCTTTAAGGCCTAATAACTTAAACAATGGTTGGCACAGCAAAATATATTGGAGCGGTAGTGGCACTTTCATCTTGGGAATCATAAACAGCTATCTATTTGAACCTGAAGCCCACTCGATGGAGGAAATTTACTTGTAGTACTGTAAATATAGCCACATACACATGACTCAAGAGGTCACAGATCTTAGAGAAAACCCCAAGGCTGCCATATTCCTTGACAAATGTAATTGCTTAATATGCACAAAATATTGATCTTTATATTTACATACAAGTCTCCCAGTCACCACTTATCAAAAAGTATTCTTTTGCAACAGGTGGAGATTATTATAGAGTTCTACAATTGGTCACACACAGAGACTGTCTGTGGAATGCTATTTTATGAGTCTATTAAGTTCTGTGAAATTCTTACAAGTCTGTGGTTTTAAAAAAAAACAGTGATCAGATTTAGTAACTTCTTAAATTAAAAAGGCAGAATAACCATCCTTAATCTTTTTATTAGGAAGAAAAATTATTTTACCTTTTTTTTAAAAAAAAACTGAAGATGTATGAACCACCTCAGATGAGCAGCTCTTGGGTGTCTGGACGGTATGAAAACAGGATTTTATCTTACCAGATGTCTTTTGGGAACTAAAGGTTCTGAAATCATTTCCCCCCAGGCTTGGAATGGCTAATTATGTTTCTCCTTCTATAATCTCCTCTGTGAATACATCATCACCTTAACAAGGATGCAGCTTCAGTGTTTACTACTTCTATCTACTATTGTATGTCAGTAATGACAACACGATATTTTAAAACAACATATTTTATATAGCTATAGATATATAGATATGGATATAGATTTCTAAGCCTTCCTTTCCCAAAGTAGATACACATTTCAAAGGACCATTCTTAATCATTCCCAGTTCCTTCTTTTTGTACATTCCATCTTTAATTGAAATTTATTTTTATGTTTTCTCAATGTTATCACTGTGTTTGATGGCTTTGTTTTGGTTTGCACTAGGATATATGCTATAATACCCTGTCCCGCGAGATCTCTTAGGGACCCTTGCTCCTGCAGCCATTAGACAAACCACATAACACATCTTTATCTCAGTTTCTCATAGTTTATATCTTGGGTAGGGTACATAGAGTAACTTAAAAGGCAAATTCCCAGCGCTCCACAAAAGGGTGAACACCCGGCACCCCACTCTACTCTGTGGTTCAGCGGCCACCATTCCAGACTGCTTCGGCTCCATACCTAGAGTCTCTGTTAGCTTTTTCCCACTCGTGGGCCCGCTCTCATGCCCCAGTTGGTAAATGCCCCCATTTGCGTCTAAGGTCGAGACACTGGGCCATTTTTTCTGCTCGGCCACTTCTGTCCAAGATGGCCTCAACACTCCTCCCTCCGAGGCTAACTCTCTGCAGCCAATTCTCCACAGCCAATTCTCTGAAGAAGGCCCTGCCTCTCTGTGTAAAAAGTACCCCTTGGGACACATGTCCATACTTCAGTAATAAACTCTCCTTTCTAGCATATTCATAAAGTGTGCAGGTTGCTGCCACTCTTTAATTTTGAACATTTGTCATCACTCCAGTAAGATCATGTTCTCGGTGAACAAATGTAATTTAATGGTATTCTTTGTAATTTGGATACTGACTGAACTTGAAACAAAAATTTGAAAAACATAAAATTAAAAGGTGAGGAAAGTAGGTGTTTGGTGATGTACAAGTGTTGTATGAATTTTGCCTCAGATGAATAAGTACTCTATGTCAAGATTATGATTTTAATGTACAGTTCAATATTTTTGCTAATATTTAATTGAGATTATTTTATGCTAATGAGATTTTAGCCTCTGAAGTTTTTTTTTTTTTTTTTTTTTTTTTTTTTTTTTTTTTTTTGTTCTTCTTGTTGGTTGTTTTTTGACAGGGTGGCCTTGATCTCACAGAGCTCCACCTGCCTCTGTCTCCCAAGGTCTGGGATTAAAAGCACATGCCACCACACCCGGCAAATTTCTTTTGAATTTAGGTCTTTATCGGGCTACACTTTCAGAGTAATTCAGATTCCATACAATAATTTTTAAAGAGCTTTCCTACTAATATTTTTGAAGAACCTAACAAAGGCTGATAATAGTTCTTTAAATGACTGATAAGCATTACTTTTAAACCATCTGACAGTTATTATTATGATCACCTTACACATTACTGACCTGATATGATACTTAGATTTGGGGAATTTAATATGGATAGTAGATTGGTCTAATCATCTAGCCATTTTATTTGGTTTGACTGATTTTCTTGAATAGAATTGCCTTTATTGGCTCCTTGATGGTCTCCGGTGTAATTGTATTCCTTGTTTAAATATCTCCATAAATATTTTTAAGAATTATTAATGTCCCAATGAAGTGATCATGTTTTCACTATATAAGCAATCTTTTGTCTTATTTTGTACACTTGACCTATAGATTTTTAGGACTAAAATAAGGGTCAGACTCGCTGATCTTATTTTCATTTGTATAACAATTAATTTATGTCAAAAGTTACTAATGGGGGCATGGAGAGATGGTTCCATGGTTGAGAGCACTGGCTGCTCTTGTAGATCAGGGTTAGGTTCCAAGAACTCACTTTGTGGCTAACAACTTTCTGTAACTCCAGTTCCAGAGGATGTGTTGCCCTCCTCTAACCTCTTCAAACATTGTATTCATGTGGTGATTCATGTACATACCTGCAAAATACATGCATTATTTAAAATTAATTAATTAAAAAGTGTTGGAAAGACTTATCAATGTCATTTTGTTATTTTCCTGGTTATTTTACAGATTTTTTAAATTCAATTATGCCTTTTTGTGTATGTTTTCTGTATTGTTCTATTTCAGAGCTTTCATTTCGGCTTTGTATGACATTATAAACATTTACTTTGTGATTGCCTTGAGGTTTAAGTAAAATGCATATGTGCGTATGTGTTTGTGCATGTGTATGATTACCCATGTGGACTTGTGGAAACCTTCGCTCTCTTTCCACAATCGGTTCTCTGTATCAGTTTTTGAGTCAGGACCTCCTACTAAAATTGGAGTTTCCTTGTTTTGGCTATCCCAAAAGTCCAAGAGTCCCAAGGGATTCTCCTGCACCTGTCCCCCTCAGTGTTTGGGTCAGGAATTCATACTGCAGTGACCCGCATCTTTTATATGGATCCTGGTATCCAAGGTCAGGTCCTCAGAATTGCATAGCAAGCACTTTAAAAAATTAACCATCACTCTATCCAAGGTCTTGTTTTTCCAGATGACTATTTTAAGCTGATAAGAATTTGAATCTAATTGGTCACATAAAAATATTTTTGTCTACCTTCTTTAGTATTTATATTTTTAAAATTTTTATGGATTCAAGAATTTTATGTGATGTATTTTGATAATATCCAGGTCAACTCCCCATTCCTTCCTTACTTTCCCCAGTTCTTCATGTCCTCTATTATTGTGTCTTTTTAAAGGCAAGCAGAGTCTAATATATGTTTTTCAAGTACTATTGTGTGTGTG